AGCCCCAGAATTGCTCATTAGAAAACAGAGCTTTACAAAACACTAATGCACAAGCAGTTCCCATGTGCAGCACTACTGTTATGGCTGAGACTGAAACAAAGTGCCTTGGTTTAAAAGCAGATGGGATCCTGTGTTACTATTACTTTTTTGCAGTCGAGGAGCCTGGATCCCTGCTGCATGGAGCAATCGGGACGCAAGGTGTGAAGAAGAAGATGCTTGGGAAAGGAAAGTCACAAGAAATTAATGGGGAGAAAACTGACAAAACTGGAGGTTGCGGAAAGCACATCGAGAGACTGGCTATTATTTACCACTGCTCTTTGCCACAGACACCTAAAAATACAGAGTGAAGCATGAAAGGGTGATGGGGTAACATGGATGTGCTTCAGCCATCACCCACACTATCACAACACGCCAGTGCCCTCCTCCTTCCATCCCCATCTCCCTCCAATTTTACCTTCCCCAAGTCCTGCCATCACATCCGCTGAGATGCTGAAGGGTTGTTTTCAGCTTTTCCCCAGGCAACATCATTTTGGAGCCACTCAGCTTATCCCTGAGCAATCCTCCTTCTCAATTCTCATTTCTGGCTGGGTTTTCCAGAAGGGAGGTATGGGTTTTCCCTTTCTTCTCTTTGTCAGTTGGGAAAATGTGGTTGAAGTCACCAAGTCTCAACTGTGTCCTTCTGGAAGGATTTACCCATCATCTTTTCAGCATCACATGTTTAGCAATTTGACAATTATTTGTTTTTTCTTGCAAGATCATGGAGACCTATTACAGCAGCTGCTCTGAGCTCCACTGCTTGGATTGGTTCAAACCTTTTCTCAGCCCCTGCTTGTTGCATTTCCCTCTCCCTCTGTGCTAAAAACTGTCAGCATGAGGAAAGAGGCTTTAAAAGTCAGGATTTTGTGCAGGGCAGCCCTCTGTGATGACACTGGGAGCATCAGCACCAAAAGATGCTCCTGTGCACATCTCAGCTGAAAAGCTGTCTCGTGGCCCATAGCCAGGGTGTCCCTCCCCAGAGACATTGGCCTCTTCCCAGTATGGTTTGCAGGATCCCCACACAGTGGAATTAAAGCCTCAAAATGGCAAAACTGGGGTTAATGCATCCCAGAGGAGCTGGAAAAGGGTGATTAGAAAGACTGTCTGGAAGGAAGACTGGAAGGAAGTCCCCAGGATGGAGAAGTCCCCAGGATGGAGAAGGTCCCAAAGAAGGCAGAGGATGCAGCCCCAGCACCCCTTTGGGGCAGAGACACATGAATGGCATGAAGCCATAAACTACCCAATCCAATAGTTTTTTTCTTGGCTGAACCAAGAAATGGGCTGAAACCCAGGGGCTTGATGAAGGCAGCTCCAGAAAAGGGCAAGGATGGGCATGTCCAGCAGACCCTGGGCTGTCAGACCTGCCCCAACTGCTCTCTCCTATTCCCTAGTCCTCTAGCTGTTCATATTTAGATTTTTATTTTGATTTAAAGAGAAGCTGGAAGTGTTCACCCGCAGTCATATTTTAGGCAGAGTTTAAACATTTCCAAGAAGTATTTGACAGAGGTGACAGAAGACAGCATACAAGCAAAGGCAGAGGGCAGCAGAAAGGCCAATAATTTGTTAGCAAGCCCATGCTGAGCACGTGGGCACTCATTATAACACATATAAATAGGAATTAAACACGACCCCCCAAGATCAATACCCCATGCAAATAAACAAGCCAGCAGGGAATGGCTTCCCAGGAGCACAAGGGTGAAAGGAGTGAGAATATCTGCACCAAAATGAAACCCCATCTGTTAAGGTCAAATAGCTGTCAGTACCCTGCTAGAAGCATATTCCACTCTTGTAAAACTTAAATAAAATAATGTATTTAACAAGGCTTTCTCCTGGTGCTTATAATTACAGCTGGATGAATATTGGAAAGTGTTCCTAAGAAGAATTGATGGGGAAAAGCACACCAGCATTCACAATTAATATTACTGCTGTGGAAAAGACTGAAGTGGAAAGCTAAAACCTCAAGCTCCCATCAGCCATCCTGAAACTGCTGATGGAGGCATGGATGCTGTCCTCATGCAAATAAGATACCGATTTAAAAGAAAGCAAGTGTTCAATGAACCTATAGGCAAATCCAATGCTTTGGCTCAGACCTGAGCAAGCCCCAAAGTGCTCAGATTAAATAAGATGACTAGGAATTAAAAAAAAAAAAAAAGAAAGAAAAAAATAATAGGTGCCTTAGTCCATGGGCTCATCACTTTCTTCATGTTACTAAATTTAGGATTTACTCTATTTTATTCCTATAGATGTCCAGGGCTGCGATATTTGCAAAATCCTGCACATGGAGGTTGGTGCATCTGCAAAATCCTGCAGGTGCATTGGGTGTGAGTGGAAGTCTGGGAGGATGCTGGGTCCAAGTCCATTTTGCCTCCTTTTATTTAGAGGAAAGGTTGGAGCTTTCAGACTGATGCAGATAACACAGCCAAGCCCTGAGATAAGAGGTCAGAGTTTACCTGCTGTTAAAGGAATGGTGCTGGCCATTTTCCGTAAGCTGAGTACTGCAATGGCTGCTCAGGGAGCAACAAGATATGATGGGGAAATGCCCCTGGGCTGTGCAGGATGATGATCCCTGTCCCATTGCAGGACCTTGGCTATAAACCCCCAATTACCCAAACATGCCAGCATTTGCTCACTGCAGCATGTTCTCCCTCGATCTCCTTTTGGGGTCCAGTATCTCCATCAGAGATGGCCAGACCTCTGTGTTCTACTGCACCCCATCCCCACAGGAATCCCTCCAGTCTCTGGCACCACCTTAAGCCTCACCAAAAGGTTCATCCTGCAGTGTTTTCACTGCAGGAGGGAATGGCAGGATTCAGCAGCCTCCCATGTTCCTGAAGAGCAATCGCTGTCTATTTATGCCTCTGGAAAATGTATTTTTTAATGGGGGGTTCATTAAAGCATGAAGAGAGCCAATGTAAAAGGCATCTGGAAGCAACTAAAATTAAAATACCTAAAATTAGCCCCCTCAGCAGTGAATCCTTCCTCTGATCTAGATGCTAAGACGCACATGACCCAGGCGTGCCTTTCTCATTTTCCCTTCCCGCTGCCACCCCATTCCTGAGCTGCCGGGCATGGCTGCAGCAGGCAACGTGCCCACCCTGTGCTACGACCCAGGAGGAAATAGCATCCTTCCACTGGGTTTGCTGGGATGCCTCCCTCATTTCAAAAATCAGCCTCCAATTTTACATTTTGGGATTGTCCCATCTCAGAAACAGCTAAAAATTATGATGTTTCCCCATTGCAAAGGAACGGTTTGGGATGGGGACTTCTGGGTATTGCTCTGTCCTGGCAGAGCAACACTTATTTCCCCAAATCCTGGCCACTCATGACACCCAGCCACACTTACTTTCAAGATGTCTCAGTTCCTTCCCAGTTCCTCTGCCACCCAAAAAAGCCCCTTCTGGGGGAGGTACTAAAGCACACTCTTTCCTGATGCTTAAATCTTATTAGCGCATGAAATTAATTGAAATCACAGTGCTGCTGGGCTGATGTGATGCCCTTGGTGCTGCTTTCATCTCTGATAGTTCGAGAGGTTTTTCTACCTGTGGTCATCATCCTGAGCCATTCCCTGCCATACCCAGTACATGAGAAGTTTGGTGTGGGGGGAGGTGTCAAGCTGGCAGCTCAGTGGAAATACTTTCCTTAGTATTTTGTAAATATTATGGTCAAAAGGAAAAAAAAAATCCTCCCACAGAGATTTTGTTTGTAAATTCAATAACCTAGGGAGGAAATCCATGCAGAAATAGGAGGACGTGGTTAATACTGTCTGGCCAGGCTTGCTGGCACAGCTTGGAGGGTGAGGGATAGATATAAGGCCATGATTTCCATTTCATTGCTAATTCTGGCCGTGCTGCACTTCAGCAGTGCAGGTTTTCCTTGCTGCAGGTCTGGAGCCAGCAACTGTTCTGGACCCCACAGAATTATCTGCTCATGAGACACATTGCTCAAGAGATAATCACTTTGTTTTTTAATGTGAATTGTCATCAGAAACACAGAAAAGCTCAACAAGATATGCCGGGGGTGGTGGTGGGGTGGTGGAAACCACTGCAAGAAAAAGCAGTTCAAATCATATACTATTGAAGAACTTGCAGTTTATGTGATCACTCCTGGAAAGTCAAATTTTCCACATTTCTAAAGTGATGGAAGAGCTCCTTTCTCCTTGTGCTGGGTTTGTATATCTCAGACTGCTTTTCAGCACCAACAGCACCTCAATCACTTGTGTGCTCCAGGTACGGACATGGGCAAGCGGGAAACCCCTCCAGCATGTGAAGTGTTTGTCCAGAAGGAGAGAATTACTTATTGCAGAAATAAAACTGGGGATATTCAATACAGTATGGCAGAAATGGCCAAGGGCTTGCAGACCATACAGGCTGCTGTCTTAGCCCCTGGACACACTGGTGCCTTAAACATAGGTCGCTCAGACCCTGTACATAGACCCTTCAAACCCTGTGTGTAGACTCTTTTGGGCTTTGTTTATATAGGCTGCTCAGACCCTATATACACACACATCTGAAGACCCTCTCAGGTTAATATAATAATACATTAATGTAACATAATATTATAAGCCCCTCAGACCCTCTATACCGGCCCTTCATGACTATATATATGCTCATCATACCCTATACACAAACCTTTCAGGACCTATATGTTTGGGCCCCTGAGGCCCTATGTACAGACCTTTCAGCACTTAAATATATTAAGCACATGAAAGCCCATATGAAGGTCTTTCAGTCCCTACATGCAAGACCGTCAGGCCCTACACACAGGACGTACAAACATTCCTCATGTAAGAGCATTTCAGGAACTATAGACATAGGTCCCTGAGACCCTCACACACAGGACTCTCAGGACCTGTACGTAGGTGCCTCTGAGACCCTCCACACGGCCCTTCCAGAACACGTACTAGCACCCCACACCCCAACACCGGCCCCTCCGGCTCTACACGGCTGCTGGGCGCTACAGAGCCCCCGCCCCACCGGCCCCACGCCCCGCCCCGGTCCCGCCCCCTCCCGGCGTGCCACTGCCCGCGGAAGCGCGGCTGCGGTGGGTAGGGCCTGAGTGCGCTCCGGCGGGGCTGGCTGCGGGGTTGAGGTGAGCGTTGGTCAGCGGGAAGGGGAGTCTTGTCTGTTCCTCCGCAGCTGGTGGCGGGGCACGCCTGGCCATGGAGTCTCCGTTCGGACTGACCCTTCTGTTCCCCGCGCACTGGCGAGTAGCAGGCTGCGGACATGTAGGCGGGTGCTCTACTGTGAAACAGGCTGAGACGGGGTGCCCGGGCCCAGGGCTGAGGGGGTCGAGGCCCAGGAGCTGAGGAGAGCTGCTGTCCGGGGGAACCAGGCTTTTCGGGTCACACGGGGCTTGGGGTGCGTGTTACGGCTTCTCCATGCCTCGGTCCCTACAGTGATGCTGTAACTTCTTCCCTGTGAAATAGGGTTCAGCTTTTCCTGCTGGGAAAGACACAGGAGAAGGAAGGCTCCCCCTCAGAATGCCTGGGCGAAGGGGGGCCTGCAACGAGTGTTTTGGGGAGCTTCTAGTGCAGCAGTGAAGAGCTGAATCTCTGCTCCCCGGGTTCGGTTTTTTTGTGGTTGCTGGAGGGGGTTGCTCGTGGAGCTGCCAAGGCTGTATGAATTACTGCTGTATGTCATAGCTAATGTCAAAGCAGGTTTTCTTAATAGCGGTTTGTTAAACAGCTCTAACTTCACTGAATGGCCAAACTGTATTTGATGTGCAGTTTGGTTTTGGAAAAACTTGTAGGGTGAATTGGGTTAATAAACTGCTGAGGGTGTAGAAAGGCCTGATCTTTATCAGACATGATTTAAGTATGTTGTATTTGCCTTTAGTTTAATTGAGCTGCTTGAGAAAGACAATAAATCTGAATGTGTTAAGTTGCATCTACTGACTAGGGGTGGGCAGGTCAAACAAAGCAGGATTTTTTTGAGGCTTACTCCTCTAGAAATCTGAGTGCCAGCTCAGACTTCACTTAAAGTAGAGGTCTGACTGGCCTTTTCTTTTAATCAGCTACATGACCATTTTTCCCCCTCTGGCTTTATTTGGTGGGCAGTCCGAACTGCATGTACTGATCTCAGTATGTATGAACACTTGTACAAAGAGCATGACTGCACATAGCTGTCAGCAAAGACTCATAATCTATATTATGTTTCTTTCTTGTTTTTAGAACACAGCCCTGCAATCACTAAGATCTAATTTCTTGTGTTATTTGTGACTACTTGACCTGCAAGCTGACAGCAGATACGCTTGCGCTACAGGTGAGGATGGTATTGCTGCTTGCTGGTGTGTGCAACTTGTAGCATGCTGTGTGGCCCTGCTCTCTGGTACTTTTAACTCTGCTGAAATAATAATTTGACTGATACTTACCCTTAAATCTGCCCTGTTTGGAATTATTGTTCTGAAGCATTTACACAGTTTTTTCCTGAAGCTGTAGGAAAATAGCTTGACTTTTTTCAGTGTGAAAAATTGGGTTGACTTTTCTTTTGGAAGGCCTTACGCAGTGCCGTGTGATTAGGAAGGAGGAGCGAAGCAGGCATGGAAGAGAGCTGTGGAAGAAGCGTGCTGCCTGCTGCTTTCTGTCAACCCAACCTCAGTTGTGCCATTTTCATAAAATATGCAAACCACCACCCCCCCCCCCCCCCCCCAGCAAAAACCCTAATGCAACTCACTATTTCTGTGCACTCAGTAAAAATGTATTTGAACTGGGGTGGTAGCTTTAAAAAAAAAACAACCAAAACACCCCCCCCCCCCCAAAACAACAACAACAACAAAACCACCAAAACCAGACAAACAAAAAAAAAAAAACCCAACTAAACAAAAAACCTGAACCCCAACCAAACTAGTAGTTCGTTTACAAAACTAGCTACAGATGCTTATGCTGTGTGTGCTTGTCCCTCTGAAGCAACACAGCATTTCTTGGCCAGCCCAGGGGTACAAGGGAAACGCATTCTAGTATCATCACTGCCCACTTCTCTGGGTCTCCTTGGGGGGTCATTGTAGCCACCAGTTTCAGGCAGCAGCTTCTCTAGCCAATATAGCTGCTGCCAGAAGAGGACATGGAGGGTCCTGGAGATATTTAAGAGGATAACCATCCTCTTAAATTTTCTGGTGTTCAGTGGTATTTTAGAAAGAGTATAATGTGTGTATTCAGCTTTGTATCTTAAACTCACATAATCCCTGCTGTTTACTTGTGGCAATGGCTTGTTCTCTGACCCATATTCTGCAGAAACTTTGTGATATTCATTATGCATCCTGAACTGAAGAAGTTCAAACTTCATACTCTGGAGGAAAAAGTGCGTCTTGTTTACATCATCAATATCTGCCTACTGGGGGCTCTCTGGAGCTCCAGGTCTCTTATTATATTAGCCTTTGTGTAACTTCTATGCACAGGTTCCTGTTATGCTTCTTGGGCTGAGAAGTCAGGTTCCTGGGTAAGCTCACAGTAGTGTTTTCAGAGAGATTGTACTGTTGTCGTCAGGCAGTTTAACAGGGCACACTGCAAGATTTGCAGTTTGCAAAATCATTTGAAGTCTCAGGAGGGCTTTGAAGCAGTATCTTGGAAGCATTACATTTTTCAGGTGATATTTGAAGGAGTCAACAGCTATGTTCAGATCTTGGATGTGGAAACAACCATTCTGCATTTCTGGAGCAAAATAAGTTCTGTAGAAATCATGTGTGGTTTCTTAGAAAAACATGTTACATGCTGTTCCACTTGCTGCAGTAGCAGTTCTAGAAATGGACCGAGCTGGGACATGGAGATACTTGTTTCAGTCTTCTGAAGTTTCCAGCAGCCTTACTGGTACACATTTTAACACAGTTCAGTGCAGTAGGGCTGAGGATGTTTGTGTACAGCAATAAAAAGGCTTATTTGCTAGTTTTGTAGAGGCTGTGCATTCCTGCTGGGACATTGCAGAGGTTTAAGTGAAGAAGTATCTTGGTGTGACTGGGTGGGATGATGCTGTTTGGGATAGTTCCATAGGAAACAGTTACCCAGGGTCGTCACCAGCATTGTATGCCTTTGAGAAGAACATCGTTAACTTTGTTCTTTTAAGAGAATAGTTTTAAGAAAGGTGTGCTGCAGATGGCATGGCTACCTCCTAATGAGTAGGATGGCTGTGTATCTTTATGGTGATGTTCTGAACACTTATGCAAGAAGGACTCGGTTAGAATCTGAGTCAAAACGCACTTTGGCTGCCCAAGTACATAGCATCCAAAAGTCTTTGACAGGCTTGCTCCTTAGTGAAAGATTTAAGATACTATAAACAGAAAAAATAGCTTGACTGTTCAGATCATTCACTGTTCTACTGTGGCTTCTGTAGTGTTCTCTGAAAAGTTCTTGGCTAGTAAATTCTGGGCTATCTTTGTCTGCTGCCTTGTCTGTGAGTGCAGTGACTACTTTTTTCCTCCAAAGAAACCTGCCATGGAATTTTCTTTCATGCACTCTGGATTTAACCTCTGTCAAGAGCAACTTCTAATTAAAGTCCCACAACTGCTTGGAGCTGGCAGTACCACCATGTGAAGAGATCCTCTAGATCCTCTTGTCTGGGGTGGCACTACTGTGGATATGGAGTAGGAGAAGGTAGAACAGACCAAAGTGCTGAGGGATTTTGTGCTGTAGCTGGCACAAGGTGGGAATATGCAGCTGGGGGCAGGCCAGCTGCTTGTGCTGGCTTATAATAGCTGTGAATGTGTGGCCTTAAATGCTTTGCATAAACAGCCTTTGATTCATTATAAGGTTTCCTTTCTATCCCTGCAGCCTGTGACAACTTGTCACCCTTCCTCTACACAATCCCCGCCCCATCCCCTCCAAATCAGTGGCTTAACATGGTTTTCGGGTTGTGTTTTAAATAAAAAAGGTTGGCTGCTCTGGGGTTTCTTTAAAGTCACCAGGGCCCCTCAAGCTCAAATTCTTTTTTTTTTTTTTTCTCTTTTAGACTTTATAGCTCTTTGAAAAGAAACCCAAGATCCTCATGTAGACAGCAAGATAGATGATCATGGTTTGAGATGACCAACACTGCAGCTGACCTGTGCTTGAAACATGAGAGTTGTGAATCTGTGTGGCTTCATGATTTGTAGTGGGTCAAGTCTGTCATGCAGATAAAGCTGGTCTGTGGCAGCTTTGAGTGTTCTGAGTCAGACCCAGTATCTGTACAGACTATTTGTGTTATGTACCACCACTTTAGCATCTGTGTTTTCATTAGTTTGATGCAAACTTTCCATCTCAGGCATTTTTGCTTCAAGAGTGATTTAATTTTTTTCACTAAAATCTTAGCTATGATACAGACACCAGGAAGATCGGCAAGAATTGATGCCTGCCTTATGCCAGTTAGTGTTAAAGAATACAAGAGGATTGTCACTGTATTAGATGCCCTTTGTGTCCACACCAAGTGTATGCTTGCTGTATATTGGAGTTGCTCAGGAGTTTGCCAGCCTCTTAATTTAACCCCCGACAGTGCTGATATGCAGAGGTGTTACTCTACACCTCTTCTTAAAGCCTGTAACTATGGGTTGCCATTTCCATTAATATAATCCCCCTTTTTTTCTGATGGCTGAAGTTTTGGTGAACTGCAAAGTAAGAGTCCTCCCTCCACTGATAGATATTTTGCTTTTTGGTTTCATGGCTGCAGGGAGGGAGGTGGTGGGCAGTAGTGGTCAGACACCACGAGTCATCTGGTCCTCTGCTCGCATTTGCTCTAGATAAGCACATAAGCATATGTGTGCTGTCTGCCTGACTACTTTGTAGGGAGCCAAGTATTTGTTGCTGCCTTTTTCATGCTGCAAGTAAGCTCCTCAGGTTGTGTTCTAAAAGCACAAAGAATTAGCTAGGCTTACCTTTATTATTTTTTCCCTCTGTAGTTCAAGCTAATCAAATAATGCGTTGCTGGTAGAGCAGCTGCAGTGGTTCAAACTTGCTTTGCCTTTTTTGTTTTTTTTTTTGGAACCAGTTCTCTTATCTTGAATTCACAAATTGCCATCTATTAGATGATTCACAGATGCTGTTACCTTTTCGTTTGTTTCAGTAAGATTTTTTTATTTAAAATTTCTTTGGATATGTGCCACTGAAGTGTGGCTCTTGGGGCAGGAGAGGCATTTTCTAAAGCAGCAAGTGACCATGGCTGGGGTAGGTGATGTTTCCGTTTAAAAAATAGTGTGGGAAAGGGGGAAATTACTGTATAGTGATACTCAAATTCAGGTTCTTAGTGCATTCACAAATCTCTTTGTCTTTGTTGGAGAGGAAGAGATACAGACTTCCTGTAAAATTCTGAGATCATCTGCTGTCTATCTACCTCCAAAAAGAAATTTGTTGTTTTGTTTTTTTTTTTTCTGGAGCTGGATGTGTATCTGCAGGTAATTGAAGCCTAAACTGTCCACAGCCTAGTGAGGCTTTTGCTTTCTCCTCAGACTACTGACATTCTTCTCCTCCAGCATTATTTTCTTGTGAAACATGTTTGTTTGTTAAGAATTAATAGGAGTTTTCTTGGAGCCAAGTAAGCCATAAACATCTCTTAAGTCTACTTCAGCTGCTCTGTTATTGTAAGGTACATGCAGGTAGGTGACTGTAAGCTGGAAGAAAGGCAGAAGGTTCATGGAGGGTCTTTCGGTTTTCTGTGAAAGTTAAGAATTCTCAGGAAAATCACATCCAGTCAACACTGATAGTGCAAGGGATGTTAAATCACTCAGGTCATTAAGCAGCCATATTCTTGCTGGCTGTAACTTTGTACAGAAAAAGGCAGAAGTATTACTTTTTCTATCCCTCTGCCAAAGTGCTTTGACAAACCTTTGTTCCTCAAAGTGATGTAACTTTTCTTCCTGTGAAAATGCTTCTGCTCTGGTGTGCCTGCTCGTGTGGCTCATCTGCAAAGGCAGCCTGATTGTTTGGGAATGGTGATTGGAAAAAGAAAATTTCACATTTGGGAATAGTGACTGGAAAATGAAAATTTAACATTGAACTGATTAAGGTAGGAGTAGTTATGAAGCAGGGTCACTATCCGTAATAAGGGGTGAGATAAGTTTTGGGGGGTTTTGTTTGGAGTTTTTGAGTTGCGGGGGTTTTGGTGGTTAAAGGAAAACTTTAACCAGGAAAAAGCAGCCTTTAGCATTCACTTCTGTGGAAGGCTGTAGTTGCCCCTTAAAAAGCTACTGTGCATTGCTGGAAACTGACTGTCTGGAGTAGCAAGCAAATATTTTATCCTTGCTAAAGGTGCTGTTTTCAGTGCTGCTGCAACAGATGTAGCCAGTTTATTTTGTTCGTGTACACTCATTTTTTCATGTTTCTTGAAAGCTGCAGTTTGTGGTGGCTGCATCCACTCAGAAGTCTTCTAGTGACTCATCTAGCAGGTTAGATTTGAGGTTGATGTTGAGCTTGCCAAGTGATGTTTCTTCTGCCATTTTAGTTGGCACCAAAGTCTTTCCCCAGTGAATAATCACTCCTGCCTCCCTTTCAAGGGAAGACCAAGCCAGCTACTGACCTACACCCTTATAATCCAATTGTTATTGCTAATAATGTTTTATTAAAACTCAATCAGAAGTACTGTGTGCACGCTTGCAATGTATTTTCTTCTCTACTTAGCACTGAAGATCAGTGAAATTATTTTCTGTCTTGGCTGTTTTAATCTAGACTGTGCAGCAGTGTTTGGGGCTACTGACTCTTCTCTGGCCAGTTTGCTCAAGTCTAAGGTGAAGCTCCTGTGGTAGCAGACTTGGTAGAAATTGGCATGGGTGATTCGTATGCACCAAGGAGAAATGCTTAGTTTTTCTGTACAGTACTTGCTATTTTAGGATGATTTGCAGTTCCTAGCAGGTAGCCCATGGGGAGATTAAAAGTAGGGGATGGATTAGAGCAACTGATAGTAACAGAGAAACCTAGTTTTTCCTTAATTTAAATATAGTTAATAGTAATGACGTATGCATTAAATTGAGGAGAGGAACATTGTGCGTGAAAGTTGTTGTTTAGTAAGTTGGATTCCATCTAGCCATGGTTTTGCTGGTTTATTTTCGCTTTGTGTCTTATGATTCTAAATGATAAATTAAGCAGAATAAAGCAACTTGTGAAATGAGGATGACATGAATAATGGAGACTTAATGGATATCATCCCAGTAAGTCATTATACTAAATAAGCCATGTTAATGGTGAGGTGATTGCAGAACACAGAAACATGTTGGCAGTGCAATATTAGACCGAATTTTTAAATATGCTATGAAATGCAGTAGTATGGCTGTAATAGCAGCTGCATTCAGAGCAGGATAAAAGGTTACTACTAAATGCTGGCCATTTGAGGGATAGCACCGATTGTCCCCAGCGGGATGATAAGAAGTATAGTCATAGAGCCGTAGAGTTACGAAGTGTGCATTTTCAGGGCTGAGGATTTTAGGAAGAGGTGAACCCTTACTGCAATGACAGTTAGAAAGATATTGCCAGGCTATGGCTTAGCTTTCTGCTAAAGACCTGGTAGCATGTTATTGATTGGTGCTTTGTGGGTTCATCAGTTTGAATCATGCTCTGAAACAAATCTGGTTTCCCTTTCTAGCAAATGAATGTGATCAAATATTGCCCCAGTCTCATAGCTGAGAAGAAATTACTTTTGCTGCTAGATTTTATTTTCATTCTCAAACCTGACTTATGCATCTTGGTAAGCTAATAACTTCAGTGATGTGCATAATCCTTTATCTGAAAATTGCACTGGGTAAGGTGAAAGCTTGGAAGGTTGAAGAGGAGGAGCAGCTCATCTTTCTTGGGGAAGGGGGAAGGAACGCATACAGATGCCTTGGTAGTTGGAATCCACCTGTGGGTAACCTTTGTCTGAATTATCCTTGTACAAATCTCTCTCAGTGGTACCAGTTGGTAAATGGAGAATATGGAGAACTGGGGTGAGCACCAGCTTTCAGCTCTCTTGGGCAATTGCTGCGAACTGGGCACTGTCTTGGTGAATGTTCCAGCACCATCAGGGGTAGCGATTACTTGGACAAAGTGGATAGTAGAGTGTTTCTTAGGGCTCAGACAGAGCAAACATTTATGCAGTACGAAAGCCAACAATCTGAAATATTGTAAAAGTCTCTTCAAGCTCAAAAGTAAGCACTGTGGGACTTGATTTTCATTTTGACTGATTAAATTGTACTGGCAACAGTTCCCTTATCCGTTATATCATATGCATATAAAGGTGTAATTAGGATGGGGAACCCAAGTAAGGGCAACTATTAGCTTCTTGGTGAAAATTACACATGCAGATTTTTCTCTGTGTATCTAATAGGAATTCATCTCTGGAGATGAAATGGGAGCATCAGGTTTGTATAGGATGGAAATTACTTTAAATTTTAAATAAGAGCTGTTTTTTGTAACAACCTGCTATTGTTCGGAGCTGGAGAAGATTGGACAATAAGCACTGTTGGCTGGCTCTATTCCATTAAAGCTTCAATCCTTTAAAAATAAATAGGCTTAAAATTAAACAAAATGATAATGCTGACTGCGAAGGTTAAGATGCACACAGATGAATATAAAACGGATGCTTTTCAGATACACTAGCTGTGAGCAGCAGAGTTTGTTGTATTTGCCCATAAACCAGGGTGGTGAGGCTTGGAACCCTGTGGCTTTGCCCTACCCAGCAACAGCAGTATTGCCATCTCCATCCCACCTTGCCATCACCTGCTAGTGCTCCATCCTATCTTTCGTGTCCCAGGACAGTGCAAAAGCCTTACATCTGATAATGAAAAATAGGTGGTGTGGGATTTCCTAATGATTCTTCATTGTCTATGCTTTCCTTCCCCTTGCTATATATTTCTTTATTGTGCTGTGAAGTCTTGAGCTGCATCTTCACCACCTCTTGCATTAAAAGATATTTAGCTCTGGTACTCAAAATGATCTACTGAATATTTTATGTGCATCTTCCCTCCCTCTTCTTCTCTTCCCTTCCCTAAGTTCACATCAGTGGTTCACATTATGAAATCCTGAGCTGTGTGTTGCTTTAATCGGCAGAAAATGGCAGTAATATATTCAACTCTTTATAGCTGAAATAGGATAACACATCACACATGTATGATATGTCTGCATAAAATGGTCTCATTGTTAGAAGTTAATGGTTTAGCAGAATAGTGGTATCTCATGTTGCAAAAGCAAATAGAAACCAATAGATGTGACTTTATTTTTGTGTTCTGTAGTTATTTGCTGTCTGGGAATATTTGAATAGAACAGCAAGAATGAAAAAAATGGGGCCCCTGCTCCCCTGTGCTCCACTTCCAATGCTGGCCTTGGGCTTTCTTTTGCTGTTCTGTTCCCAATTTCTTTTTTTAAGAGATTTGGACCAATTTTTTAATCATGACCCCATGATCAGAAAGTTGAATTTGCATCAGTTAGAGATAAAGTGCAGCACCTTTTCTTTTTAGAGGCAACATTTGCCCGTCACTGTTAATCTTGTGAGCTAGCAAAAATTGCTTTGCCTCCTGTAGCTGGTGTGTGTGTGTGATGAGGTGACGTTTTTGCTGTTCAGATTTCTCCATTGTAATAATTTTTAGATTTGTAGCTCTGGTTTCCCATTTATCTCTATACTACTGTGTGTAACAGGGTATGGATTGTATTTCATGAGTTTTGACACTTTGAAACTTGCTTTATGCTTGAAATTGAATATAACTGTTTTGCTCCAGGCTAGCTAAAAAAGTGATTTAAGAACAATAGGGGTTTCTTAGGAAATGTAGAATGACTGGACTGGGATTTCTTTTGTAGGTTTGCTTGTTATTTGCTTTAATTTGTGTTTTAAAATCCAGCTGTGTCTTTCCCTCTGGTCAAATGGTTCTTACTTACTTGCTGTAGTTGCTTGCAGGATGTACCTGCATATTCCATGCCTTGGCCCTTGAGCAGGTGAGTACACATAGTTCCTCTAAATGAAGTGTGCTGGGGAAAAACTGAAGAGGAATTTGAAAAGTGCTGTAAGAGCAGCTGAGAAAGTAGCTGGGATGTGACAGCAAAGTGTGTCAAACAGGTATATGCCCATACCTAATAGCTGTGATTTGCTATTTTTTAGGCAGGTTGCCTGTTTCAGAGCAGCTAATAAGCATCTGTGACAGTTACTTTCTGTAACTTCTCCTATTTTAGAAACAATGCAAACAAATTTCTGGTTGGCAGCCAGTGTGAGAGTCCACGACTGGAACTGTTGCTTTACTCATGTGTTGTTCTTACTTGACAGGATGTTTCGCCTTCGGTTTCTTCCCATTGCAGCAGGGCTTTCTGCTGTTTCGCGGCGTTACCATGGGACGACGCATTACCCCAGGACCAGGCGTAGGCTCATGGTGGCGGCTTTCATAGGGACAACTGCAGCAACAGCGAGTGCCAGATTTCTTTGGCAGAGGTAATTTTTTTGTTTGCTTGGGGTTTGTTTTGTTTTGTTTGTTTGAAACCTCGTGCTGCTTTAGTCCTGTACTTGGAGATGGGTTTAAGATTTGCAGGAGAGTTTGTAAAGCATTATTGCGTGTCCTGCTTCTGCTGCAGGGAAGGAATGGCTGTTGGTGACTTCTGGGGAGCTTCTTTGCTGCTGTGAGTAGTCAGAGATGTGAAAAAGCTCAGGGCTGAAGAGTTTTACTCTGTAGCTGTTCTCACATGGGCTTTTAGCCCTTGAGGTGATTTGCTGCCTGGCTTCCCCTTGTGTGGTGATGCTACATGGGCCTATGGTGGTGTGCAAAGAGAGTTTGGTTGACTTGACCAAACTGGGTCAAATGAAAGTAAATGTGCTTTCAGCTTCTGGGAGGGCTTCTAGGCACAGCATGCTTGGCCAGAGGAGGCTACTCTGATTTTCTTTGTGTTCTGCTGACTGCTTCATATATAAAATGTATTAGGGGAGCAGAAGGGGACAGTCTGTCCTTTAGTGGTCAGGTAGGTGCAGACAGAACTTAGGTTGTTTTTAAGGGCCAGAGTCCGAGGACACCTGCTTATGGGCCATGAGGCTCAAAACTTGTTTGCATGACTGTGAGGAGAAAAGGGATATCTATGCTTGCCTGAGGGCTCACTGAACCCTGGGGCCCATGCCACATTTGAAATAAATCGAGGACTCCCTTCTCTCAAAATGTGGGAGCCACATGGCACCAGCAGTGTCACTTGAGCTCATGACTGCAATTAAAGTCTCAAAACAGACAAAAAAAAAAAGACATTGAAAGGTCTTATTTTTTTCCAATATTTAGGTTATTTGTTGCTGGCTCTCTTCTCACATGTATTGTGGCTAGAAGGCTCTAGTTTTAATGCAGTAGGAGGAAGATGGTGGCTGTTCCTAGAGCTGTCAAATCTTGATACCTGCTCAGGCTGAGGAGGAACACTGTGATCCAGCAGTGTCATCTTATGCTGCATTTTGCTAAAAATCTGCAGTTATGTAGTGCCTCTATCCGTAGAACCTGAATGCCTCTGAGGGATGGGCACGGTAACACTCCTTTTCAGGCAGGAAATCGAGCAGGGTTTTTCACATTTAAAACAATCTCAGTATTATTGTAAAGTATGTAGGACATCATGTCAGACTGAAGCTGTCCCAAAGACACAGAGAGAGATAGTATCTCTCCTCTGTAGGAAGTTCACCCTTGCTTTTAAAACAGCCAAATTATCAGTTGTTAGCTTTGCCTTTTATCAGGGGGAAGGTGCTTTCTGCAACAGAGCTGCTAATGGTATGTGGAGTGCTAGGTCCGGGTTGTTTTCTGGGGGTGATTTTTTTGGCTCCTGGTGTACTTGTCTGTTCCTTAGAGGCCCCTGGGCACTGTAGCCAGGCTTGACCTTGCTTAGCTGAGAGCACTCATAGAAATCAGATAAAGGAGAGAGGCAGCCTCTTTGGAGTAGTGTGGTCTGTGATCTCCCCAGCCCTCATCAGTCTGGACAGATTGACTTGCTCTTACTGTTTGGTTTTGTTCTTTCCTTGCGCTGTCTCCTTTGTCTTTTCTAAATCTGTAAAGCACTAAATGGAACTGTACAGACTTTGAAGTATTCTTTTCCTATATGAGCCATGAAATAAATCCTTAATGTCTGCAACTGAAATAGATGGACATCCAGGCTTATGATACTCATATAATTAATTACTTGGCATACAGCTCTTGAATAAGAGGAAGAACAAAACTGATATGTTTGGTGTAGAAAATACTTCATACTGACACCTGTAGAAGTTTTAAACAGACTTTCAAATAGGCATTTTAACTTTGTGTTTAAATAAAGAGGGATGAGGAACTCCAAATTTCCGTTGTCTTTCACAATATATAAAGTGGGTGATTAATAGAGTTTTAGAATAAGTGTAGGTGAATACAAGAAGTTTGTAATGACATCTTTTATTATTCAGGTAGCTACATCCTGGGTTATTACAGTAAGTAGCAGTAAGTATAATGAACTAGTTTTAGAAGGTAAATATGTAATACATGTAACCAGGGCACACAGATCTAATAAGCCAAGTGTCACTGAAAGTGTAATTTATAGACTACAGAGAAAAATGTCTGTGTGCATCTGTGTATTACGCTTAGCAGTAAGTGATTTTGATTTATTAGATGTTGCAGTGGTATTTAAATGGGAAGCAGGTTAGGGAGGTCCAGGGCATAACCAGTTAGTCTGTCGTAGGGCTGACTTAGGATGTTTGCTTACCTTTGATAAGTGAAGCAGCTTTGCTTTTGTTGTGATATGAAGCTCTCCTGTGCTGCAGTTAGTCTGTGAGATGTCCAGCAGATCCTAAGTGTGGCTCCCTTGGCATTGCAGAGAATTACTGTACCTCTGATGGCAGATTGCTGTAACAAGGAATGTGTGCCTGCTAATGTTCTGCATAACCTTAGAGGGTCTGTTAAGGAAGCTGAGACTTCATCACCCTTTGAGTAGGGAGTGCAGTAAGGGATGCTCTCCTGCAGGCTGTCAGTGAAATTTTCTGTTAAGGTGAGGTATGTCTACCATTTTCTGTTTTCTTATAATTATTTTTCTTTATAGTTAAGGCATAAAAGATGTAATAGGCCGAATCAAGAAGCAGTTGAAAATCTTATGCTTCTTGGGGTAGATAAGTAGAAGATGATGCAATGTTAGAGGAAGAGCAGCAATAAAAGGAAAAGAGTATCTGACTTGTATTTCTTATTGTCATCTCCATAAAGCCTTGTGTAAATGCCCCAGCTCTTCTCTACTGCCATGTGAGAAGCAGCACTACATCTCTCATCAATACTTTAAAAACACCCAAACGTCTTATGTCAGAAAGATTTTTGTACTCCTAATGATGGTGAACGTTGCTAAAAGTGAGTATTAAGGTGGTGGCTGTATGTGAACTTACTCATTCCACTACCTATCATGAAGAAAATCAAGACTTCTTGGGTGTTTTCCAACTGTGATGTGCAGCCTGAAACCGGTATATTTCAGATTGATCCTGTAGGATATGGTTTGTGAAGCATCAGAAGCCAGTGCTGGTGTAAGGAAGCCCTCACAAAGGTAGAGAAGTCAAGGATTGAAAAGGATATAAATATATATATATATATTTATATATATGTGTTATATATATGTATATAAAAGAAACAGTAGTTGTGTAATGCAAGATAGGAGAAACTGTTTCTTCCTGAGAGGTGAGGTGGCTTGGGGGATTTTCACATTTGATCTGCATCCGCTTGTAGCCTTCTGCATAGCTGCCTGTTGCAGGTGAGTGTTGGTCTTGTTTCCGCAGCTATCTTCCAGGAGCTCCTGCTGCCTGTTTTTGGTGAAATATATCTCATCTAAATAACTGTATGACAGGAGGAGCTAATGCTGCTCTGTTCTGCTGTGGTGAAGATTACTTCAATAATGCAAATAACTGAGCTTAGAAATCTAATGAAATTTATCCTTTCTAAGCAGTAACTTAAACTCTGAGGTTTTCCAGCTGGCAACAGAAGCAATTAAGAATCTGGTCATTGGTATAATGTACTGAATTAATTAATTGAAATAAATCTTGGCACAGTCGTTGGATAATCTAAATGAGTAATTATTAATATAGAAGAGGAACTGAACCTCACAGTTTGTGGCAAGCTTAATGTTTATAGATAATAATTCTGTTACTGATGCTCATGTAAAACTTTTATTCTGTATTGGTAGTTCCAAATACCCATTTGGCATGTTATTAAATGGCCACAGATAACGTTCTTCGGCACAAGCCTTCCTGGCTGAATCTGTGGGCAGTGAGCATCTGAAAACAATTGGCATTTAAATTCTGAAGCTTGTCACTCAATCAGTCTAGTACTTAATGAAATAAGGGAGCAAATGTACCTTTGGGGAGCACAGAAGGACCTCTGTAAGCAGAGTCTTACCAGTGCTCTTCCTGACTGACTGGAAGGATTTGGTTATTCTTAATTTCTTACCCTTCCACAGGTATATTAGCAGTAAGAATAAGGGCGAGACATCCATGTTGCTCCGTAAGTTGCTTAAGAATAAGATACTTTGCTACCAGCATGTTTGTATCTAACATGGTACCTGGTCTTATTTTGCTGCCTCCCTTCGGCCTTATTCTGTGCTTTTCTGCCTTTTGCCTTGTCCTGGATGTAAGTCAACGCAGTTACACTTAAGATACCTGTCTCCCTGACCTGGTGGTGTATTGTCATTCTGTTACAAGCTCTTCTTTTTCAGGCTCCAGTTCGCACCAGCAAGTTGAGCTGTTCAGGTGCTGGCTGCCACTTCTACAGATTTCATTCCATCTTTACCATTTCTTCCTCTCTTCTTCCACCCTTTCTTCCTTCTGCCATCCTGTAACAAGTATTCAGTTGCTTTATGGAAGATCTCTGTAGGAAAGACACTTCATCTTCCTTACTCTGCTGACCTTTCCTAGTTTTTATGTTTGGCTTTTCTCCATCAGTGCTTCTGGAATTAATTTTGAAGCCTAGATCAGCCCTTAGCTAACTCTGTTTAAGAATGCATTGCTTTTTTGCATCAGTGTCTTAAGGGCTTTAGAGTAATTTGCTTAGAATACATTTTTTTCATGTCAGAATTGCTGAAAATATCTTGTGCCAGCTGAAACTCAGACTTTAAAAACCTTCATTCTAGTAAAACAAAGGAAACCACATAAATCATAGTCAAGAGGAGAAAAACCTGTTTTATAGCTATAGATGTATCAGGTACTACTTAACCTGATGTAAGAGAGAAGATTAAAAAATGTAGCTATTATCCATGTGAGGTTATTTTTATTTTGAGAGCTCTGCTCCATTGTTTTAATTCTTTGAGAAAGGTGGAGGACTCAAGAAATTATCGTTGGGATTGCTGTGCTCAGGGTTTTCTCCTAAGGCATGAAGACACATTAATCCATGAGTGGTGGCTTGCAAGAGCACTGTGTCCTTTCAGGTGGCTTGTGGCTTCATATTATTTTTACCCATGAGCATCAGGGGAGGGAAAGAATCTGAT